AGAATAATGGTCAGAACGATATCTTATTACTATATATGAAATACCATTTCTTGTGTAAAACAAACCACTAGTGTAGATTGAAGGAATTAAAATCTGTGAATATATTCATGTGCGGATCGCAATGTGGCACTGGGTTCATTTCGTCACTTTCCGGCTTATGTAAAGAAGCCCACAAACTGTGCATCTGTTCATATGTTTACATTTGGTAGGGAAGTTGTGGTGGTGCGAGGGGTGGATGCTGAGTAGTCTTGTTGTAACTTCCTGCATTATGCCATGCCCAAAGCACATCCATCAGACTTCGAATTTTAGGAGAGGATTATCACCTTTCCCTAATCCAATTCAATACTCCGTCCCTGAAGGTTCTACTTCACCCTCCTCCGCCGTTGCATATCCATTATAGGGAACTAATACAAAATACATTAGCGTATGTAGTTAGGGGTCCGTAACCGTAGTTGTTTTAGATATAGAAAAGACCTAGATTAGAGTCCACGTGGTAGCGAGCATTCTATAAGAAAATTTCCATAGGATACTCATCATCTAATCGATTGTTTCCTGGTTCTCTGCCGATCGATTCCAGGTGAATGTTGGTAATTCCTTCAACTGAGCATGGACCTCCCGCGATTCATTGTTCCGCATCTTGCCCTTAGTTCCACATAATCGATTTGTCGGGTGATATCCATCCCCATACGACCCATCTCCCACCCCACATGTCAAAGAAAGACTCACGAAGTGCGTGAATGTCAGGCCAAAACTTTAATTGGTCTGTTATGTAGTCGTAGAACGACGGAACGTGTACGAATGGAATCAATCAAGCGTGGATTCGTGTCCCAGGCCAGGACGAACTAGTGTACCTTTAACGCGCGTTACCAAAGTTACGTTGGTGAGGTTACCTTCATCGTCACGCGTCGATGCCAGTGCACACGAGCGCTGTCTACCGCGCGTCTTGGGCTCTGCTCGATGCTCAACATGGACGCCGTCGAAACAGCTGTTGTAGGTTATGAAAATTATAGAGAAAGAACCTAGGGGTCATTGAGTGCACTATATTAATAGTGAGAACCTGATTCATAATAATAATTTCACTCTCTTTAAGCTGCGAGAAGACAGAATTTTTGTATTATTTTCGAATGTCTGAAGTCATTCTATAAGTTTCTCTGCAAACTACAAGAAGTGTTCCGTGGTTAACCCTTTATCAAAAACATTGAAATGCCTGCAAAAATTGTTACAAGCTTATTTTCTTCTTTGTACACATTAATTGTTATGTTACAAAGAACAGGTCTTCTTTTCACTTCTTGTATGTGAATTTCTCCATCTACGTCAATTACACGAAATAATTAAATAAAACTATAATTAAAATATCAGTGTAATATTAGAATGATAAGATAATACCATCTTTATTGTGTTTAGATCAAATTGAAACAAACGTTTTTTCCAAAAGGCAACATTTAGGTGGTTTATTGTCTTACCTGCATCAGGCATAGAACACAGAAAACACGAACTTATTTTGCTCAACAACACGTACAATATAATTGTCTATAGTACATTACATGCATACATTTTAAAAAATCACTAAAATAGTCTATACTGCGAAACACATCTCTTAAAATATAGGCTAAGATACATATATTAATTTATCCCAGGATGTAATTTGTATATACAATTTAAAATTAAGTTATAAATATTTTATATTCTACCACTCCTCCAGAACGTTGGCTTTTGAAATATACGTCGTTTCAAAGTGTCAAAAACACATTTTACTATTACAGATTACTACAACAGATTTTACTATTATTCTAACGCAAATCGTTCCAAAACATTTTAAAATAAATAAAAATGTATGTCCACTTGAGAACTACAATTTCCGAAGACCAAAAGCCTGTTGAAAATGATTTGATATAACCACGTGTTCGGAGACACTGGCTCACAGCACACGCTACAAAGAACGCTAAACGTCACCTGGATTTTCTAACTTTTAACGCGAGACGCTCGATAGGTGACTTGCGATGGCAGCAACGCGCGTCGCCATGAGCGTTCGTGTGCTGTTCCGGATACGATAGTGTTAATGTACGACGAACGTTACTTGACGCGTGTTTACCCATCGCTCGTGTGGCATTAATCTTAGGGGGTCCTAAGCATGATCAAATAATGGGTCTCAGTAATAATATTAAAAATTGAAAATGTATATTAAAAACTAACATGAAAAGAAACTACAAGCTTCATCATTAAGAGTTATAAGAAATATTTAAATATCTGTGAATTAATATGAATATGTTACAAGATAAATGGAGGTCCATATCCAGCGGGAATATACTTTGTGTACTGCCGTGCGTGCAATACATAACGTGCGTCTTTAACTGCTAAGCGTTTTGTAAGCGTTAACGTCACTTTCCATTCCCTAAACATAACCGACAATTTAATGGGTGGACTGTTAACACGCAATGTAATAAACTATATCCGAGTTCTACAAGTTTAATGTTAGTTACTGTAATTGAGCACGTGATTTCTTAATTTACGGAGAAATGCCGAAATATTTCCGCCTTGACCACCTTGTGCGAAGCGAAGGAACGCCTGATTACCTACAGCACAGTTTGTGGAACGTTTTAAACATTTTAGCCTCTGACCCTACTACACAATCAATGTACTCCCAGGATGAAATGTCACTCAAGTAGAAGATTTTTAATATTATTGTCTGGCTATATAATGAAGGTATTTATTTATTTTGTGTTATAAATAAATATTCTTCCTTAAATTAAAGACGGTAAAAAATTGACATGTTAATGATGTTTAATTCATTAATTCTATTGAATATTGTAAACTCCTTTTAAGAAATCATGCCGATAGCCTGATGAAGAAAGCAAATCGACTTTCCAAACAAGTATATATGAGTAATTTTAAGTTGAATTATTGAAATGAACACGACAATTTAATTATTATTAATCCAATGAAGAATGTTTATTTTATAATAAAATTTAATACGGACAATCATTTCAAAAATATTTTTTTCAAAATATTTCTTTGTTTATTGAAAAAATATTTTGAATTATATAGTAAATAGACTCAAAACTTGGAAGAAAGCGAATTTAGCGAAAGTATTCTCTCTTTCACATTGTTGCTTACTATTATTAATATATGATTATTGTAATGTTCCTGAATAATGACAATTGTGGCAATTAACAAAAACAATCGGCAATTAACAATTACAAAAGTTTAATCTGACCAAGTTTAATTACAAATGTTCCGTTTCCAAATCACTTCGCCAACGTTCAGTATAGACAGGAGAGGAAGCCACGTTCATATCGAGTTGCCAAAATACCTGATTATGTCCAAATACCAAGCGCAAGACACAGTTCCAATAGAAGCATATGCAGGGCCCTATCCAGTTCACTGTAATCAACTATTTCACACTATCATGACGGATCTCTTCAAATCAGTCTATCCTACTCTGCTGCCCGCAGCCGCTTCTATACGCCAGGCGACGTCATACCCAGACTCGCCTTGCGGTTCCCGGTGGCTGCCTTCGCAGAACTCCTATGTACTGGATTTTGCGCGCGTGCAGCCCATTGAAGCATCCCCCCAAAATTATTATTTTACATTCCACCACCTGGTGACAGTTGACATTCTAACATCCTTCTTCTTCTTCTTCTTCTTCTTCTTCTTCTGCTTCTTCTGCTTCTTCTTCTTCTGCTTCTTCTTCTTCTACTTCTTCTTCTTCTTCTTCTGCTTCTTCTTTTTCCTCCTCCTCCTATTTTTTTCCTCCTCCTCCTTCTCTTCTTCTTCCTCCTGCTCGTCTTCTTCCTCCTCCTCCTCCTCCTCCTCTTCCTCTTCCTCTTCCTCTTCCTCTTCCTCTTCCTCTTCCTCTTCCTCTTCCTCCTCCTCTTCCTCCTACTCTTCCTCCTCCTCTTCCTCCTTCTCCTCCTTCTGCTCCTTCTGCTCCTTCTGCTCCTTCTTCTCCTCCTCCTCCTCTTATTCTTCTTCCTCCTCCTCCTCTTCTTCTTCTTCTTCTTCTTCTTCTTCTTATTATTATTATTATTACTATTTTATTTAATATTTTTCCTTTACATTACTACTTAGATTTATGTCTCGACTAAATATAAAATCTACTCCAGGTTGCAACCAGTTACCTAAGGAGCAGATCGAGTGTCTATAGGTGCCTCTACAATACTTCGCGCAAAATGTGGGCTGTTACAAATAAAGAAATTTCTTGCACTTTCGTAGTCTTTTGAATGACCTGAACTTTAGCGAAGTTCTTATACAAAGTTTGCGGAACAAATTCCAGAGCAGCGATAACTATCGATACGACCTGTGCTTTTACGCCCCACACTGGGCTGATTTCGATTTTCAAACACTTGTATTTAAGACATTTCTCTGCCACCTTGGTTACGACATTTTGACCACAAGCCACAGCAACATCTACAAATAGACACAATTTTTTCTAAATCCGGGATAACAATATCCGGTTTGTTTGCTGCTATTGTCCCATCCGTTTGAATTTGTTGGTCGTACAATATTGAAGAGAGTCCTTCAGATGTCACCGGTTTTGGGGAGTGTTCGTACCACTTAATCATGTGTTTGGAACTTCCAGGGCGGTACAGATCTGCCAGTGAAGGTAACTACACTCCCTGTCGTATCTTTTTCAGTATTCGGTCTTTGCTGGAATTGGTCAAGCTAAGACGACGTGATCAATGGTTACTGCTAGTTCCTGGTAGACGCGACATTTATCATCTTAGGAAATTTTAAGAACCGCTTCATCATAATGTATTCACAACGCCTGATCCTGAGTAACTGTGAGAACTGCTTCCGAGTTTGGCTTTATTCTTTCCATTTGTAAGCCTCATAAACGATTGGTCTTAATTGATCTTCACCTTGTCCATTCTTTTTAGATATTATCTATGGAGTGGTTTGTCTCTCCACGATCTTTTTTTCTTGTTCTTCTTCATTATTATTATTATTATTATTATTATTATTATTATTATTATTATTATTATTAATTTTTATGTCCGCAGGCTCGGAGTGGGTGGGGTGGCGCAACGACTCCGCCGCGCTGCTAGGCCGCCCCGTCGAGATCACCTTCGAGTTCGACCACGTGCGTAACTTCTCCGCGATGTTCCTGCACACCAGCAACCTCTACAGCAAGGACGTGCAGGTGAGTCGCGTGCCTTGCACTCGTTTTTGCTTAAAATAATAGAAAGTATCAAGTTTTTTTTGCATCTTCTAATTTGATTTTGAAATTTAGGAGCAAAGAAAACAAGAACGTTCTTCCAATAACAGATAGTATGTAATGTGACCAAATTAGGTTTGTGGTTTAATTCAGAAAATTCACCGAGTACTATTAAAGACATTCGGCAACAGCAATTCTTTGATTACAGGTTAATATCTGATTTCGGTATTTTTGATCGTAATGTATTAATTCTCCTCCTACTGTGACATAGTCTTTTTTCTTTTAGTTCACAATACCCTTAAATTTCACCCCATTTTATTATTCCGAAAATGTTCGGTTTTGAGGAAATCATTGATTCTCTGCGACATGACTTCGACCGTGTCGGAGAGTTAGTGTTAATACATTGTTAGTCGTCGCTATAAATCGGCGAGTGGAAGCAATTAAGAATTTCTACGCCAGAGTTCACAAAATCTCAGCGTGCCAAGTGAACCAACTAAAATAGGTAGTTGCTAACTTCTTGACTTCCCATTACGAATTTCTCAAATAGATAATTAATACATGGTAGTTTTGGAGTGTTGTAGGAACAAAAAATTGACATAATGACTAACAAGGTTTGCAACGTTTTTTTTTTGCAATTTTTGTGTACCTGATTATTTAGAATTTGGTGATTCTTCTACCAATTCGGGGACCCAAGCAAGTGCTCTGGAGACCGTGATTGGTTGCATGTACTTAAAAGAATCCTTCTTGGTTTACGATGCATGTACAATACGGATTTTTAATGTAAAGATTTCCGAAATGGGGGAGCGGAATTACTTTACGTCTTCCCGGAGAATTAATTTATCAAGATTATCTTCATCATAATCATCATCACATAACTTCTTTCCAGACGAAAATGTAATGTTTTCGACCAAAGCCAATTATTCATCAGAGTAGGACGAATTTGTTTACTTTTACCGATTTGAAAACGTGTTTTCGTGTGTTCATCCGTAATAGTACTATCGGAAACAAAACACGTCCTGCGTATACAGAACCTTTCACGGCTCTTTCACCTTCAGAAAAAACATTTTAAACTGAATATTCGAGGAAAGCATACAAGTGTTTACGTGGAGTGAATAAAACCTGCATTTCTTGATCACGGATTCATATTATATATAACTCCTTGCAAAAAAAAACTTAATTTGCAGACTTCAAATAAATAACCTTAATTAATTGCACTGCTTCAGGTAATCTCTTAAAACCCCTTTTTATCCTCAGTCTTGTCTCTAATATTCTTCTTCTTCCCTGTGAAGTCGCTTTGCTGTTTCAAAATCGTCTGGACGGCTCGCGGACTCTACTGCTTAACTCGTAGACCGCGTGCCGCTGGGCTACAGCTGGTCTAAAGTAAGTCCATGTACGTCCTCGTAAAAAACTCCAAGACAGTATTTGATTTGGATTGCATTGCAAAGCCGACCCCATATCTGTTATTAGAAAGAGATTGCTATTCTTGAATGATATATGGAAAATGTAAGAATGCATGGGCTGGCATATATTTTTGCAGCATTGATCGGCAGCTGCTATAAATTTACATCATAATAAAATGTATGGTGATGCAACACTGACTTGAAAAATGCGGACATTTAGCGAAGCAAGGGCAGTTGCAAGGTGGTGATAACATTTCGTAAATTACGTAACATTAGTACTGTAGTATGGATATCCTAACACACAAATACAAACAATAACAGTTACTACATTTAAACTCCACCTGTTTGCGATTGAATAAAGCGACATTTATATTTACAAGAAATGCAGGTGGGAAAACTGCATTTGCCATGTTCCTACGTTGTGTGTGGGAGGTATGTGTAGTCATGTTACTTCATCTGACTGTTCTAGTAGCCGTAATAACGGAAAAAGTGTTTATTAAAATATACGAGGCGGAAATATGTTAAATATTTTTGCCACTTTTACATTTACTTGTCCGCAACAATTAATTTCTTGCAGTGTAGGATCCATGCCGTTGTACTAGCCAGGTATAGTAAGAACTGAAATGACAGCACCAGCCAAGTGTAGTAAGAACTGAAATGACAGTACGAAATGAAATGTCTGTTACGAACGTGAGACAAATGCGTAGCAGGTTGAATGAGCCGGAAGTCGCTAAACTGGAGGTGGTTTTTGCAATCTTGCGGAACACGTTTAATCGATTCGTTCCAAAACATTCACTTCAACGCAAACGCAACGAGACAAATGAAGAGCATTGTTCCTTTTCAGGACTTAAGCGGTTTTTTTATGGTTCTTAAAGAGAGACAGAACAACTCCTGAGTGTTACCGTTTGCTGTTAGAATATCTTCCGAAATCTCTTCCGAATCACATCACAACCACATATTATCACAACTTCATAAGATGTGCACTATAGTCTATATTACATATAAACAACTCGAATCCAGGAAGTTCTTAAGAGGAGGGCGTATGTAGAGAAAAAATGTTTTTGTAAGGAAGTTTTACTGGCGGTTATTGTAAATTATATCTGTTGATTCATTAAATAATATACAATAAAATGAATTAAATGAATTATTAGTGTAACATTTAAAATGAGTTGACTGGAGTACGGAGGAAGAATTGAAGTATTTGTAAGTCCAAGAGCAAGGCACGTGCCTCCCAGCGCTCAACCTCCCTCGTATGCACCCCTGCATAGTTTCCTATTCCAGCATTAAATACGCATTCGGAAAGAGTGCGAAGGCAGCGTAAACGGGGCCGTGGGAGGGGAAAGCGACGGGGTTGCCGAATGCTGAGGCGTAGGCTGGGCCCGGGTAGGGGAGGAGTCGGCGACGTCGGCGTCGGCGGGAGGGGGCGAGAGCGAGGGC